ATGCAATCATTTCTTTTCACCATTTACCAATGATCATTGGTTACTGCACCAATTTAATAATTTTAAATAATAAATATAATATAATATAAATTATATAAATAATATATTTATATTATATAATTATATATTATATTATATATTATATATTATATAATATAATATAATATTTTATTTTGTGTTATATAAATTCAAACTATGACAGGTAATATTTTTCACTACAAAATATAATACAATAATACATTTAAATTTAATTTTAAATAATAATAAATACAATCTGATCTGAATATCTGAATCTGACTAGAATGCATTAAATGCACAGAAGCTGTAAAGAAAAAATGAAAAGACTATGCAGCATGCATTAAATGCACAGAAGTTGTAAATGAAAAAATGACAGCTCACGCATAATAATGACCAAGCCCAACTGTCACGCTTCGTTTTCCCATATGGCTGTGTTAATGATTCTATTTTTTGAAAATCCAATCACCTGATTAGATACACTCTCCATTAGAAGTAACTAGTATTTCACCCGTGCCGATACACGGACATAAAATTCTAAATATTGAATTTATGTTAAGAAATTGAAAGTAATTATTTTTGTTATTATAGTTGCAACATAAACAATTTTTCGAAATTGAAAGCATTTCTAAATTTAATAAAACTGTGACATATATACAAAACAATAATAAGTTAATAACATTATGATATGACATTCATCACGTAAATTACTTTACAGATCTTCATATTATCTACAGGCTGTTTGGTTAGATGTAATTTCTTTGTAGTTGAATTGAAATTCAGCGAAACTCTAAATTACATTGTTTGGTGGGAGGAAATTGCAATTGCAGATCTACATATTCTTTAGGGTTTCTACAGGGTTATTTGTCATTTCAAAGTCTGATAATTATATTTTGCAATATATATATATATATATATATATATATATATATATATATATATATATATATATATATATATATAGTTTGAAAAAATTAACGCTATAATATTCGTAAGAAATATGTTAAACAAAAAACATATTTATAATTTTAATTGAAAAAATGAAAAGACTATGCGGTATGCATTAAATGAACAGAAGCTGTAAATAAACAAAATGACAGCTCACACATAATAATAACCAAGTCCAATTGCCACGCTTCGTTTTCCCATATGACTGCGTTAATGATTCTATTTTTTGAAAATTCAACCACCTAACCAGATACACTCTCCATTATAAGTAATTTGACTATAAATAGTAGTTGTTTTCCTGCACAATTCACTTCATCTACTTCAACAGCAAATCTGAAATACAAACTCAAAATAACATTATGGTAGAAATTAACACGAAAGAAAGAGCAGAAGAAAGAAGAAAAACACTGTTTCATTGAAGATTGAAGAAGATACTGAGAGGTTACAAAGAGAAGCCTTTTAACTGCTGAGGCTAACTGCTAAAGCTAACTAACTTGCCAGCTGTTCTGAAGCCTAACTAACTTTTAACATGTAAATATTAGTCCTCTAATACCCCCTCGCAAGCTGGAGTGTAGATGGAATGAAGCACCAGCTTGGAGATGAACTTTTGGAACAACAATGGTTGCAAAGGTTTGGTTAAAATGTCAGCAACCTGGTTGTGAGTGGATATGTGCAGCAGCCGGATGACCCCTTTCTGAAGCTTCTCCCTTATAAGGTGGCAGTCAATCTCTATGTGTTTTGTGCGCTCATGAAAGACCGGATTTTCAGCAATAGCTATAGCTGACTTGCTATCAGAATATAGTATGGCTGGACCTTCCATTTCTACTTGAAGGGCATTCAATAAGAATGTTAACCACTGCATTTCACAGGCAGCAAGAGCCATGGCTCTGTACTCAGCTTCGGAGGAAGATCTAGAGACTGTACTTTGCTTCTTAGACTTCCAGGAAATCAGTGTTTCCCCTAGGAACATACAGAAACCTGTAACAGATCTTCTAGTGTTAGGGCATGCTGCCCAATCTGAATCAGCAAATCCACTTAGTCTAAGGCTGGATTTTGCATAGAAGAATAGACCTTGGGCTGGACATTGCTTGATATACCTAAGAACTCTGTGAGCTGCTTGCAGATGTGTAGTTATAGGTTTGTCTAGAAATTGAGACAATTGTTGAACTGCAAAGCAAATGTCTGGCCTTGTAATGGTTAAGTATAACAACTTACCAATAAGTCTTCTAAACTGTGTGTTGTTTTCCAAAGGTGTTTCATCAGTTTGGGACATTTTTAATGTCTGAGTCATGGGAGTCTTCACAGGTTTGCTACCCAAGAAGCCAGTTTCTGTTAGTAAATCTAGGGCATACTTCCTCTGATTAATTGCAATACCTTTGTGTGTTCTAGCCACCTCCAGCCCAAGAAAAAACCTTAAATTTCCCAAATCTTTGATCTGGAATGCAGCATGGAGATGGTCTTTGATCTGTTGGATCTGATTTCCATCATTACTAGCCAAAATGACATCATCAACATAGACAAGTAGAGCTACCAGGTTATCACCAGAGCCTTTTGTGAATAGAGAGTTGTCACAGACAGCTTGTTTAAACCCCAAGGAAATCAACTCAGCTGTTAGTTTAGAATTCCACTGCCTACTGGCTTGTTTGAGCCCATAAAGTGACTTGGTCAGTTTGCACACTTGTCCTGAATGTTGTGCCACAAAGCCTGGTGGAAGTTGCATGTATACCTCCTCATGAAGATCACCATGGAGGAATGCATTGTTCACATCTAGCTGATGTAATTGCCATCCTTTGGCAGCTGCCACAGCAAGAAGAGTTCTTATGGATGTGATCTTTGCTACTGGACTGAAAGTGTCAATATAGTCCAATCCACAGGTTTGTGTATATCCTTTAGCAACTAATCTGGCTTTGCATCTCTCTACAGTTCCATCTGATTTGTACTTCACTTTGTCGACCCACCTGCATCCAATGGCTTGTTTGGAAGGGGGAAGAGTAGTGAGTTCCCAAGTTTTGTTGGCTTGAAGTGCATCTAATTCTGCTTGCATAGCCAGTTTCCAGCAGTTATGTTGGATAGCCTCATTGTAGTTTTTGGGTTCAGTTACATCAAGAACATTCAAGGCAAAGGTTCTGAATTTAGGGGAAAGGTTTTCATAGGTTAGGACAGTAGATAAGGTGTGAGGGGTGGTATTTTTACTGGGAAGTTGGCAATCATAATCTTGGAGGTATGTTGGCCTAGATACTTGTCTGGTGGATCTCCTGACTTGTTGTTGGTGTGGCTCAATGGTGGGAACTACAGGACTATGTGGTGCAGGGTTCTCAGAGTTAAGGATTGGCATATTGTCATCTTGGGAATTAGTAGGTAGAGGAATGTCATTTGGAATGGATGGTGGAGCAGCATTAAGATCTGGGGGAGGTTCTGGTATATGCTCATCTGCTGCAAGGCTAGTATTAGGTAAGACAATAGGGATGTTGATCTCTTGGCTATCTGAACTGTGTTGAGCTTCATAAGGGAAAGTTTCTTCATAGAACACTACATCCCTGGACACCAGGACTTCCCTAGTATGCAGATCATACAATTTGTATCCCTTAACACCATTAGGGTACCCTATAAACACACACTTTCTTGCCCTTGGGGGCAAACTTAGTCTTGTATCCACTGAGATTAACAGCATAGGCTAAACAACCAAATACTTTAATGTGGTTAAACTGAGGAGGACTTCCAAAAAGGATTTGATATGGAATTCTACCTTGCAAAGCATCTGAGGGTATTCTGTTAATGATGTAGACAGCTTGTAAGATACAGTCTCCCCAAAAACACTCTGGTAGGCTTGCTTGAAACTTCAGAGCTCTTGCAACACACAAAATGTGCCCATGCTTCCTTTCTACCACACTGTTCTGCTGAGGTGTGTAAGCACAGGATTTCTGATGGATTATCCCTTTCTCTTGGTAAAACTTATCCATTTTGAACTCCTGCCCATTATCTGATCTAACACTTTTGACCTTCTTCCCAAACTGTGTGTGAATCAAGACACAAAAATCTTGAACAAGCTTCCTAGCCTCATGTTTGCCCCTCATCAAGAATACCCTAGTTAGTCTAATATAATCATCCACAATGGTCAAGAAGTACTGATGACCATATATGGTAGGCACACCATATGGTCCCCATATATCAACATGAATAAGATCAAAGCAATTAAGAGAAACAGTAGTACTAACAGGAAAAAGCAACCTTCTTTGCTTAGCCAAATGGCATATATCACATGCTGAATCTTTATTTGACTTCAAGTCAGGTTTATACAATTGCAACCCTTTCATTTTTGAATAGGAAATGTGCCCTAGTCTGGCATGCCACAACCTATCTGTATTACATGTATTTATTCTAATGCTTTTCAAAGAATTAAAAGAAGCAAAAGAATCAGGTTCCATTAAGTGATATAGGCCTCTTTCCAACCTAGCATGTCCAATCATCCTCCCAAGGGCCTGATCCTGTATGATACATGTGTCAGAGTACAACACCAATTTACATTTTGACCCATTGATTAACTGACTGACTGATATCAGGTTGAAATGAAACTCAGGCACACAGAAAACATTCTTCAATATTAAGTCATTTGACAAAGCTACTGTCCCTATGTGTGTGATGGCAGTCTTGCTTCCATTAGGAAGTTCAACATGCAAACCTTCAATATTGTTGGCCTCTGTTAATATGTGCTTACTACAAACAATGTGGTGTGTGGCACCACTGTCCAAGATCCAAGGCACTTTATCACTAGATGAGGACAGAAAATTGCCTTCTAGTTGAGAGTTGGGAACAAAATTTGCAGAAATCAGATTTGCCTGTGGTCTGATTTCCAAGTCCAGATGAGAGTTCTGACTGTGAGCACTACTTTCCCTTTGCAACATCTTCTTGAACAACATATACTCATTCTGGGAGAGAGAGACAGTGTCCTCTGAGGGCATTTGAGTAGCTATATGCATTTGGTTGACTGTCCCCATGTTCTTGCTTCTTGGCTTCCATCCGGGGGGTACCCGTGCTTCTTATAGCACTTCTCTATTGTGTGACCAGTGTAGCCACAGTAGGTGCGGATAGGTTTTTTTATTTCCATTGGGATAGAACTTCTTGGTGCCTGAATTATTCCCTGCAGCTTGGGATAAAAGAATACTACGTGCACTCAAATTGTCAACTGCTTGTGGTGAATAACCTATCCCAATATTGAATCTCCTTTCCTGCTGCTGGACTATCAAGAATGCCTCATCAACAGAGGGCAAAGGCTTCATCATCATGACCTGCGACTGAACTGAAGCATAGCTATCGTTCAATCCTCTCAAGAACACAGATAAATTGTCACTGTCAAGATATAATTGGAGTTTATCCAGCAAACCACAGTCGCATCTCCGAGCACAATTGCAAGTAGCTAGAGGCCTTATAACTTGTAATTCGTCCCACAAAACCCTCAATTTCGCAAAGTAGGCTCCCACACTGAGGTCTCCCTGTCGAACCTGATGGATTTCGGCATGTAAATCTGAGATTCGGAATATATCAGCTTCTCCGAATCGTGATTTCAGAGTTTTCCAGATCCTCTCAACTGTTCCTAGCCAAAGAACGGCCTGAGCAATCTCTGGTGAAAGCGCACGCATAATCCAGGTTGCAACCATGTTGTTGCACCTCTTCCAGTAGGGGAATTTGACATCATTTACCTCCGGTGTTGCTAGGGTTCCGTCCACGAACCCCAATTTGTTCTTGGAGAGGAGGGCCATCTCCATTGCTCTGGCCCAGGGGTGGTAGTTACGTCCATCTAGGGCTGCGGAGACGAGAATCAACGCTGGACTTTCACTATGATGCAAGAAATAAGGACTTGCAGAGTCGTTTGGGTCGAAAGTCGCATTCGTACCAACCGTCGGAGCGGCTGCCGTTTGATTGAACCCCGGAGGTCTGACTGAACTTGTTGCTCCATTCCAAGCCATGTTTCAACGCTCTGATACCATAACACGAAAGAAGGAGCAGAAGAAAGAAGAAAAACACTGTTTCATTGAAGATTGAAGAAGATACTGAGAGGTTACAAAGAGAAGCCTTTTAACTGCTGAGGCTAACTGCTAAAGCTAACTAACTTGCCAGCTGTTCTGAAGCCTAACTAACTTTTAACAGTAAAGATTAGTCCTCTAATAGAAATGTTCATCTTGGCCAAAGATATAAGTCCCATGACTTTGAAAAGAACTATCAAACTAAGTCTTGTGAGAACATATATGAAGTTCATAGCTAAGGAGTTTTCATCAACACAACTAGCCATACTCCCTCTTAGCAACTTCATCTTTAGCCTGCTCAAATAGTGCCAAGAAACATTGTGTTCGTTAAAACAATTCAAATAAGCAGGATGTTGCAAAACCTTAAATGAGCTGATTCGCTAGAATAATGTTAACACAATTCAAACAAGCTGGAAGTTGCAGAAACTCAAATGAACCAATTCGATTGGCAGAAGAATGTGAAAGAAGAAAAAAAATACAACATTTCATTGGTTAACATAATTCATATAAGCAGGAAGTTGCAAAACCTCAAATGAACGGATTTGAAAGAAGAACGTGACTGAAGAAATAAAACATTTCAATGTAAACACGTACAATTCAAATAAGCTGGAAGTTGCAGAACTTGAAACGAACCAATTTGGCAAAAGAAATACAATATGAACAGTCATTAGCCAAAACAGTCTCTAAATATCTCATATAATCAAAGTTCTGTTATTAACTTTGTTACGAAAGTAAAGAAAAGATTTCTGAATATGCTGTCGCATAGAAAAGAGAATACAAAGCCCTATAAATATATGCTAGAAGACTTCAAATAAAAAACAAGTTTTCATATGTCTAGCTACCTAAATCTCTAATACTGCCTAATCTAGAGAGATTCCAAATATTATATCTATATCCATAACAAACTTAATTCTAACCAACACAAATCTCATCATTGCACAATAGTAAGGTATGGTAGTAAGAGGAATAGTATAAGAGTTTCAACGAACTATAGTGCAAGCAGGGGTATTCACTCTTATGCATCATAAATTAAACAAAAATGCATCTTTACCTGAACCAACCATTTGCTTTTCTTGGGAGGAGGCCTTCTATTGACCACCTTCTTTATGGAATAAAAGAGACAAAAATGGGAATGACTAAATGAGACAAAATATTTATGTTTCCAATTTTGGTAACAAAGCTAAAAATAACTCCAATTTAATTTTCAAGAACAAGGAATACTTCACTATCCATCATACATATGCACGCACACAACACACATAATTGTTATCAATTGTCTTACTAAAAAAGAGAGATTCCAGGAAGTTTTTTCAGCAACAACAATTATTGAAGACATTTAGTAGAAATAGTTGTGGTGAATAGATTTTGATGATATCGTTTAGCTATATTAGGAAATTAAACTCCCCAATTTATTGTAGATTTTTCTAAGAGAGACAAAAGTCAAGGACAAATTTTGACACATGTGTTCCTCTTTTTAAAGAAACTAGTCTTTAATCATGATCAGCTATATGTAACTCTATCTACGGCAATCGTTATGCGTTGGACCCGTGTCCAGCATGCTTGCTGGACACGGGTAACAGTGCCGTTAGGCACTGTTATCTCCTTTTTTTTTTTTTTTTTTTTTTTTAAATTTCAGACCGCTTTGTTATAGGAGTATATATTCATAATTTTATTACTATATTATTAATAACTGTACATTCATAACTCCATAATTGTACGTTCATAACTCTATAACTGTACATTCATAACTCCATAACTGTACATTCATAACTCCATAACTGTACATTCATAACTCTATAATTGTACATTCATAATTATCGAAGCTCTATGTTCACAATTTTAGAGCTCTATGTTCATAAGTTTATCACTATATGTTCATAATTGTAAGTTCATAATGTTAGAGCTCTTTGTTCATAATTCGATCAATAACTGTACATTCATAATTCCATAACTGTAGATTCATAATCTCATAACTGTAGATTCATAACTCCATAACTGTAGATTCATAACTCCATAACTGTACATTCATAATCTTCGAAGCTCTATATTCACAATTTTAAAGCTCCATGGTCATAATTTTATCACTATATATGTTCATAATTGTAACTTCATAATGTTAGAGCTCTGTGTTCATAATTTCATAATTGCATAACTGTACATTCATAACGGCATAACTGTACATTCATAATCCAAAAAAAAAAAAAAAAATAACGCCGTTAACGACAAAACGCGCGCGATTTTTTTTTTTTTTTTTTTTAACTAAATGACGCAGTTTTTTTGAAAAACGACGTCGTTTTGGACCCGTGTCCATAATTCACTATGGACACGGATCCAGGGCATAATTTGCCTATCTACGGTGAGTAGTCCAGAGGGACTTAAACGTGCATCACACGAGTCGAATACTATTATGTTAATTAAGGTGAGGGTGGGGAAGTAAGTAGTTTACTCAAACAATAATAAAAATCCAAGCAATTTTGTTTTTATTTTTTTGAAATGAAAATCCAAGCAATTTTTAGATTAATAATCCAGTAGTTAGTTGACAAGACCTTTTTTTTTATAAGTAATTTTGATTACAATAATGCAACCTATGAAAACCTAACATATTGAATGGTAACTCCTTGTATAAAAAAAAAAACATTTTAATTTGATTACTCCACATTTTATACTAGCAACACGTAAAGGTTTCAAAGCACAAGAAAATGACGTGAAAATTGGTTTAAATTGGAGTGTAAAATTTGAATTATCAATTTTACTATTTATTTTAACACCAAAACTAACGGATGACCATTTTGGTTTAAAATTTAATAGTCGGAGGACTACTTTGAGTGCAATTAAAAACCAAAGAATCAATTTGAGAAAAGGCCATAGTCGGAGAACTATTTTGGGAATTAACTCTAAAATTCAGTATATAAACTTGAATGAATATAAATATGGTATACAAAATATTGAAAAGTTATACCTATGTGAAACTGTACGTATGGATCTTAATTCGTAAGACAGGCCGAATTTATGATAATTGTTTATTATTTAAGATTTTCTGGTATAATACATATCATATATTAGAGTCTTAAATTAAGTGGTACAAGTTGACTAGGCTTATCATATATTAGAACCTTAAATTAAGTGGTACAAGTTGACTTGGCTTACTAAGTAACTTTTTTTTTTTTGAAAATGGCTTACTAAGTAACTTAGTTGGACTAAATAACTAGAAGTTGTTGGACAAAATAATTAGAAGTGGTTAGTCAACCAAACTCTTTGCCTAATATAAAGGTTGGATTGATTGGATACAGAACATACATTATATAGCACCTTCATGCTACTCATAAAAATGAGAACGAGGCAACATAACAAGATATCAACTATGTTTAGAGATCAACACCATTGCTGCTACTACGAGGTTATGTTTCTCATAGATTTTATTCATTTATACATACTTATTTGATAAATAATTGATAAATAATGTGTAATGATGAAAAGGACACATTTTTATATTTAAAATAGATTTTCTGCATAAATTCTGAATAAATTTGATAGATTCTGATTCTCTACCAAAAAAGAATAATACCCCTCTAGGTGAAATTATCATGAAAGTAAGTTCAAACTTGGTGCGGCATTAGCTATTCTTCCTTCTAAAGCTATTATTTCCTACTTAATAGTTAAGTCAACTTCTTCGCCCTACCCTCGGGAGTGCTGTTTAAACGATCCGATGATTAAGAAAATAAGTAAGGCAAGAATCTCACAAATAAGTTTAAGAACTCAAAAGTTTTGTAAGGAACTTGGATTACTTGAACTCATGGATTCATTACAAATGAGGCCCCCTTAGGTATTTCACTTCCTCAATTGATGGTGGAGGCCTATTTGATCATACGGTTAAAATTTGTTCTCTAGAATCCTTCAAGAATCTCTACACAACCAAAAGGATTCCCTAATGTTCTAGAATATTCTAAGTATCTCTACATCTTTTAGTGCAATGTACTTTCAAAACTATTCTACAAACTATATGAAGCTATGTGAAAATCCAAGATAGGGATGGCAACGGGGCGGCCCCCCGTCCCCGAAACCCTGTACCCCATACCCGTCCCTATCCTCATCCCCGATCCCGCGAGGAATTAGGCTCCGTCCCCCATCAACTCTTAGTCAAAATTTTCAATTATTGTAATTTTTAATTTTAAAAACTAAAATTATATATATATATATATATATATATATATATATATATATATATATATATATATATATATATATATATATATATATTATTTTTTAATTATAATAATTATTCGGGGGCGAAGAGGGGAGATGTATCCTCGTTCCCGTCCCCAATGGAGAATTACGTGCATTCTCCATCCCCGTTCTCCGAAAATATTCTCCATCCCCATCTTCGTCGGGGTGGGGACGCAAATTGTCATCCCTAGTCTGTCTAGAAGGATGTAAGAAATCTTAAAAATGTGTAGCAAAGTGCCCCGCCGTGGCTACCAAACACCACTTAGATTCAAATCAACAATTATTTACCCAAAAAATAAAAAAGGAGAGTTATCGATTTATTTATTTTGTTTTGGTGGTAGATTTATAGGTGACGTATCACTTTTAGTCTTTCTTCGAACATCTCCCTGTTGATTCTATAATTATTGTAACATGACTACTTTTTTGTCCTCTATCAACGAATATGTTTTAAATCCCTTAATAATAAGGACATTTTGATTTATTCAACCTATCATCATCTTCTCGTTCCTCTATGTTATGAGAATTAATTAATTTATTGGTTATTGTATTATTGTGGCATTACTATTTTTGTCTTCTATCAACAAATCTGTTTAAATGACATTATATATTATGGCATTTTGATCTATTCAATCTACCATCATCTCAACTCCTATTTGTTACAAAATAAGGAAAATGACATTTTTCTCCTTGAATTATATGTTTATTCATGTATCTATATTAGCCTCCTTAATAATTATTATAAGAGTGGCAATTTTTACCCCTGCTATATTAAATATACATTTCTACTCTTAAAATAAATATTTTATTTATTTTTCTTAACAAATTATTACTTATATATAGGGATGACCACGATTCGATTTAAATGAATTGGACAGTATAGCAATTAGCAAACGAATCGAAAGGTTCCAGTCGTTATTCAGAACCAGAACAAAATATTTAAGTTTTGGTTTATTAAAATGACGAACAGAAAAAAACTGGATCTTGAACCGTGAACTGACGATTCAAAATATGAACAACTACTAGTATTAGTTTAAAATTAGAATTATAATATTCGCAAATAGTGTATTTTTTTCGTATTTGTTATGATTATATCACATATAAGTAGATAAGATTGCAATTTGGTTATGATTTTGAATCACCAGTTCACGATTCCAGATCCAGATTGAACCACTTGTTCAAACTTTTTTTTAAAACAATTATATTTTTAATTTTTAAAATAGTTTAAATTCAACAATTAATGTTTTTCGGTTCAGAATCGAAACTGACAATTCCTGTTTGCGATTTTAATAAACTGAAACTCAAATATTGGGTTCCGATTCTAAATCATAACCGGAACATTTCGGTTTGGTTGTTACAGTGTTTGGTTCGGTTTGAACCAACATGTGGTCATCCTTACATATAAGTAATAATTTGTTGGGGAAGAAAAATAAATGAAATATTTATTTTAAGGGTAAAGATGTCTCTTTAACATAACAAAGAGAAAAAAACTATCACTTTTAAAATAACTGAGGTGGCTAATATGAATACATAATAATTCAGAAAGAAAAAATGCTATAAGTATATAATTCAAGGGGAAAAAAGTATTCCCTTGTTCTAATAATTCCTCTTTAAACCTAATTTCAAACCTAAAGCTTATTGCTTAATAAACCTCTCAAAATCCCCCCCCCCCCCCCCCCCCCCCCTTTTTTTTTTTTGAAATAAAGCATAACTTAAATATTAATTGGGAGGAAAAGGGTGCTGAATACAAGTATGAAGAGTAATCTATCTAAGGAGAGACTGAGAATGGCCTTAGCTAAGGTGTGAGCTAGCACATTCGTTGATTTCGGAATAAAATGGAAAGACACTGAATTAAAGTGCCTAAATAGAGATCGAGAATAACTAATGTTGAAAAAATCGCTAAGCGCAGCGTTTAGGCAGGCGCAGCGTTTAGGCAGGCGCAGCGCTTAGGCAGGCGCCTAGCGCCTAAGCGCGATTTTTGCAACACTGAGAATAACACAACCATCATAAGAATAATTAGTAGAGGGGGAGTTGAGAAGATGACACACGTTGAGAAAGTCCAACTCTACATCAATGTTCTTCCAGCCTTCATCCTTTAACCATGATAACACTTATTTGACAGCCAACGCTTTTGCCACGTGGGGTCGTTTAGGCATCGATCTGGCCCGTTAGTAGCGCCCAGAAAGTCACCTTTATCTGAGAGTATAACTGCTCCAAAATAAGCCTTGCCACGCTCCTTGCGCAAATTATGCTGTGGAAACGTGTTTACCATACTTGGTGAACACGGTCCCAAACGGCATCGTTTTTATCAACAAAAAAAAATAGTTAATGTGATGTTAACGGCGTTTTGCATTTTATGTTCAGATTATGTATTAACATTTATTAAATTATGAATTTTCTGTTATGAGATTATGAATTTACAGTTATGTAATTATGAATTTTCTGTACATGCATAATCTCATAACAGAAAATTCATAATCTCATAACAGAAAATTCATAATTTCATAACAGAAAATTCACAATCTCATAAAAGAAAAAATTTATTAAATTATGAATTTTCTGTTATGAGATTATGAATTTACATTTATGTAATTATGAATTTTTTGTACATTCATAATCTCATAACAGAAAATTCATAATCTCATAAAAGAAAATTCATAATTTCATAACTGCACATTCATAAATCCATGCATGCACATTCATAATTTATGAGTGTTGATGAAACTTGCGCGAAGAGGAAGTGAAACTGCAAAATGTGAATATGAAGAAGAAAAGTCGGCGCTGTTAATTATTATTATTTTTTAAAAAAAGAAAGATTGGTGGGAGATAACGGTGCCGGTAGGTACCGTTACCGTTTGAGACCGTGTTCCATGGCATAACGATTGTTGGTTAACAATCAAGTCCTTAGCTACCGGGATAACTTCCGACGAGATTGTTAAGATGCTGGATTAAACCTGAAAATGGGTGGGTTAGGGTTGCCGATAATGTAGACGGTAACTGTAATCCCAAGGGGAATGGCACTGGATGTGGAGGTATTATCGAGTGACAAAGACCCTAATAGGACAAAAAGAATAAATATGGACAAAAATAGAACATTTTAAGAAGTTTGATGAAAATAGGAAAAACTCATTTCCCAAATGCGTATGTCGTTAGATTTTTTTTTTTGCAAATCAAACAAACACGCAAGTTTTTAAAAAATAAAAAATAAAAATACAGTATCTCGAGTTTGTTTGACCGCGAAAAAAAAATCTGACAACATACACATTTGAGAAAAGAATTTTTCATATTTTCGTCCAATTTTTAAAAATGTCATATTTTTGTCCACACTTGTTGTTTTTGTCCTATTAGGGTCTTTGTCCCTATTCTCAGAGACCACAAGGGAGATTGGATCACTGGATTCCAAAAGAACATAGGGTATTGCAATGTGGACGAAGCTGAAGCTTAGCCGGCTCTCCTTGATTTCAGAACTACTTGGCTGTTTGGTTTCTCTTAAGGTTGGTATTCAAAGCGACTTGGCTAATGTCGTTCGATGGGTCAATGATCCCAAGTACAGTGCTTCTGGCGGAGGCTCCTTGAACAATATATTGTTTGGGAGTACAATATGGGAGTATATCCTATTATACGTATGTATACTCCCTTTCACGTTTACAAGTATATCCTGAAGAAAGCAAATTTTTAGGCAAAAAAATTAGGGAATTAAATAGATAAAAATGTAGCCCAATTTATACCCACATATTTTTGGTACAAAAAGGAAGGGCGGAGCCCTGGGAAGCAAAAACAAACTAACAAAAATTCCCACGGGCACAAGGCACATGCACCCCAACAATATCCTTATGGATAATCAAATCCAACTCTTTATACGGGCAAAACGACAAAAGCACCAAACCAGCTTCCATACTTCGATTCTTGGCAAGTCAATCGACGGTCTGGTTCTGCTCCCACAACACGTGGTGGCATCTCACGTCCCAGTCCTTCATCATCCAATTCTTGCATTCAAACAATATATTGTACTCTCATATTGTACTCCGAACTTGTACTCCACACACTAAGGGGGTGTTTGGTTGGATATAATTTAGCTGTAATTGAATTGCAATTCAATGAAGGCTTCAATTACAGTGTTTGGTTGGAGGGATGCAATTCCCTCCTTTTTGTTGAATTGCAATTCATGGGGTAACTTCATGAATTGCAATTCAATGCTTTTGGAAAAGGAAAAAGTGTAAGAAATGACAAAAATGCCCTTGTTGGTTGTTATTATTATTATTATACAAGGACATTTTAGTTTTTATACCACTTTTTCCTTCTCATCCCCCATAATTCTATTCTTCCCTATCAAACAATATAATTTGAATTTCTACATTATTCTTACCTTATTCTTTTTCCACCGAATTACAATTCCTTTCCTTTCTCCCAACCAAACACCCCGTAAACCTTGATGTAGACACATGTATTGGGATTCACATAAAAATAATAACTTATTCGAATCTGTCACATTAGAGAGTAAATTTTAGAAAGTAAGATTATAGAGTACAAAACTCTAAAAAATAAAACTCGATACTAAAATAGTGTAGTGGAAGCATAATGAATAATGATGATGGGCATAGGACTCCGAACTATAAATGGGCTAGTTACATAGGAAAAAGGAAAGGACATCATTCCGTACTATTTACTAACTCTGCCAAGAATTCAAAATTTGGCTCTCAAATGGGGGAAGTGACATTTACGGAGTAAATAATATAATATAATCCCGCTTCCTTCTACAACATTCATGTCTGCTATACAAACTTCCCAAAGCTCTGCATTTCAAACCAAACGGTCTGTCTTCTACCCATACCCGTTTTCAAATCAGTGTGAGAGCTTCTCTTCTCCGTATCCCCATTTCTTCCCTCCATTCATCCAGAAACAGTCCCTCCAACTCTTCTTCTTCCCAGGTTATATCCCCATGACTTTTCACTTTTTCCTTGAGTCAATTAAAATTTACATCTTTCAATATGCAGGTTGTATTCAGAGCTTTATTTTTTGGTTATTATCTCTGTGTGGCTTTGAAAATTTGCTTTCTTTTTTTGATGATAGCTTGAGAAGATGAAGGCATTGACGGACAACAAGAAGGTGGTCAATAGAGGGTCTCCTCCTCTCAAGAAAAGCAAAATGTTGGTTAAGGTAAACAGGCCATTATCTGTGTATACTGTTCGTTGAAACCCTTATTCTGTTCATTCTTGATATCCTCTTACTACTACTGTGAAATGATGAGATTAGTGTTGGTTTTTGATTAAGTTAATAACAGAACATTGATGAAATGAGAAGTTTTGAGACTGTTTTGGCTACTGACTGTGTTAAGAGTCTCACATTCAAAAAAATAAGAGAGAATATATAAGTTTATAAGACCATGTGTTAGACTAGTTAATTGATTGGATTCAGTCTTTTAGTGTGGTTTGACTCACCTGCACTCTAGCCTAATTGAGTGAACCTAGCCCAATATGTTAGATTGTATTTCTGGTTCTTCAAGTTCCAGCTTATTTGAAGATGCAATGTTTCTTGGCACTATTTGAGCAGGCTAGAAGTGAAGTTGTTAAGAAGGAGTATATGTGTGTTGATGAAAACTCCTTGGCTATGAGGAGAGCCCAAGAACTTCAAGCGAATCTTTCGCCCGAATTTCCTAGTCTAGTGAAGTTCATGCTCCATTCTCATACTACTGGTGGATTTTGGTTGGTAAGCCCACATGATGATCATATCTCTTTGGTGTTAGGTTAAAGCAAGTAATCTAAGCATCTTGTTATTCCCAAATTATCGTCGTGCCTTCTGAAATGATAGGGTCTGCCCAAAAAATTCTGTGCTTCTCATCTGCCAAACCACAATGCTGCTATTGTTTTGGTGGATGAAAATGGAGAGGAAATGGAGACGAGGTACCTTGTGCAAAAGTGTGGACTTAGTGCAGGATGGAGAGGCTTTTCCCTGGCACACAACTTGATTGCTGGGGATGTCGTAGTTTTTCAACTAATCGAACCTTTCAAGATGAAGGTAACCCCGTCGACCCTCCATACATCAGCAATAGTGAATTCACTATCAGTGTAACGAGTGTGGCCTCTCAAATTCGCCAAATAAATTGTTCTACCAACGTGCTAATACCGCGTTGTTTGATAAAACTTAATGTTAGTGTTGGTTGGTTCCTATTATTTAGTTTCTTATTTGAACTATTCTCTGTGGTTGTTACTGTAACTACATAGTTGCCTTTCATCTCTGTATAATTCTTTGTATAAAAGTCTATGCATGGCATCAATAAGATATTGAGTTTTCTTCCCAAAATACTTAACATGGTATCAAGAGCCACTCATACTCTGAGAACTTGTTTTTTTTTTTCCAGCCTTCTCGATATGTCAATCACAGCCCAGACAACTGTTAGTGACAGACTAAGTTATAAGCTGAATTAATCTAATTTGCCTCACTTTCCTTATTTTAGGTATACATTGTTAGGGAAAATGGCTTAACAGATGTTGCTGGAGCCATCAGTCTTCTAAATTTAAGTCATTCTGCACAGCCAATTGCAAGTGGTATATATGTTCTCCTTGTTTCTTTTGCATTTAGTAGTATTCATAGAAGGCGGGCGGGTTGAACTTTAACGTTTCTGTTATTCCTGCAGAGGGTTTACTGCAGCAAAACGAAGACACTAAGGAGAACGTGATGAGAATTTGCGATCCTGCAGACCAAGGTGATGATCAGCAGGGAGAAATCTCTACCTCGGACCACTTCCTCGAATCAAACTTGTCGGGCAATGATATTGACAACAACAGCCCCCGGACATCTTCAAATGGTCTCAGATTTGCAGAGGCTGTTGTCGATTTTGCACAAGTGGAAGACTTCGAGGGCTTCAACATCGTTGTCAACAACATAGTTATAGATTCTGAGATCCCCGAAGCTCATAGGCTCAAGTACTACGAGCTCTGCTGCAGCCGCAAGGCATACCTTCACGAGAGCCTTCTAGATGGGCTGAACTATAAGCTAATTGCGGGGGCAATAACAGAAACTGTGAACATCGCGGATGCCATCCGAGCTGCCAGGCTCACGACGGGTTGTGAACTTTTGGAAGTATGGGACGCGACTCTGAGAGGGATTGAGCAGTTTGGCATACAAGTGGGGTTCTTGCGCGATAGGATAAGCAAGCTCGTGAGGCTATCGGGGGATGTTGTTGCCTCGAAGAAGAAAGAAAAGGCGGTAGCTGAAGCGGAGATGACGGATCTCCGGGGCAAGATGTGGAGGGTGAGAGAAGTGATTGATAATTTGGATACAGAGATCCAGGCTTATAGCAGCAAGGAGAGGGTAGAGGAGCTTTTCAAGGATGCTGCAAATGCTGCATGGTGAAAAAAGCTTTCTCTGTGCTGCTTTAAAGGATTGTACCTTTGTAGATATAGTAAATTCTCTGGGCTCTCATATTGTTGGAGATGCTCTAACAGCATCAAACCTCACATTTTCATATGACATGTGGGGTATTTTTTTTGGTCGGTATTAAACTTAAGGGGTCGTTTACTTCATTCTTCTGTTTTTCCATTTCCAGTTTTCCATTTTTCTATTTCTCCAGTTTTCCTTCTCCATTTCTCCATTTCTCCAGTTTTCCTTCTCCATTTCTCCATTTCTCCAGTTTTTTTAATTTTCATTCGCTATTTCTCCATTTTTTCATTTTTCTAATAATAATAATAATAATAATAATAATAATAATAATAATAATAATAATAATACACCAATAAAAACCTTACACTAAATAATTTACAACCGATTACAAAGCAACATACCCAATAATAACATGTATACAAATACAAAAGTGATTTTTTTAAGTAATAAGCATATATTTTTTATAAAAATAAATATTATTATTTGTAAATATATAAGAAATCTATATTCAAATTTTATAATTACAGCTAAAAATACAAAAGTGAAGAAATCATTGCAATAAAAATTATAGAAAAAGTAATAATAATAATAATAATAATAATAATAATAATAATAATAATAATAATAATAATAAGAAAGAATTCGAAAAAAAAAGTGGGGAAAAACGAAGGGAAGAAAGAAAGGGGGAATAATAATAATAATAATACTAATAATAATAATAATAATAATAATAATAATAATAATAATAATAATAATTAAAAAAGAAGAAAGAATTCGAAAGAAAAAAAAAGAGGGGAAAAACGAAGGGAAGAAAAAAAGGGGGAATAATAATAATAATAATAATAATAATAATAATAATAAAAAGAATTTGAAAAAAAAAAGAAAGGAGGGGAAAAACGAATGTAAGAAAGAAATAATAATAATAATAATAATAATAATAATAATAATAATAATAATAATAATAATAATAATAATAATTAAAAAAGAAGAAAGAATTCGAAAGAAAAAAAAAAACAGAGGGGAAAAAACGAAGGGAAGAAAGAAAGGGGGGAAACAGAAGAAAGAAAGAAGCTGTGAACTGTGAAGAATAAAATAGGCGCAGGCAGGAATCGATCACAGGACCTCGCGCACAAATGCCACTGTTCACCCGTGCGTTCCATTCCTCCATTTGGAGAATGGTTATTTTGCTTTCTCCAAATTTGTATTAGAAGTGGAAGAATGGAGATGAGATTGGATTTGGAAGAATAAATTTAGTAAACAAGTTTTCCAATTTCCATTTTTCCACTTCTTCAATTCTCCAATTTTTTGGAAAATTCTCTATTTTTCCAAGTTGGTAAACGACCCCTAAATGTTTTTGTTGTTATTACTAGAAAAAATGGTTAAATACGTCTATATATTCGTGAAAGTGGCAATTGAACTCTTAAATTTTAAAAATATCTAATTAGAAGGTAGTATTATATCTAAGTCCTTATTATCAAGACTTGAAATCATGATCACTAATTTGGAATGGTAATTAAAATATCATCACATTATATGATAGTTGATGACTAGTTAAAGTGTTTAATTAATTAATTTTTTTTGGTATAAACCACACTGTGGTCCGGGTCTTCGGTCCACACAGAAGCACTGAAAATTGAGAATTGAACCCGGGTTATCTCGAAATTCTCCCCCATAAAAAGAGCTCATTTGCCACTTAAGCTACCCTGTTGGGTTAATTGAGGTTGTATATGAAATTACAATTCTCTTAATTTCCAAGTTTATTTGTTTTTTTTTTAGGAATGGGGATACCATATTATATCAAATGCCTTTGAGACTCAAACCTATCACCTCCCACATAGAGGAGTAACATGGTGTTACTGGACTACAAGGTCCTTGGTTTTATTTTCAAGGTTTAGAACAATAGTTGGTTATTTCAAAATTACAAATATATTCTAAATGAAATATTGTTGCTTAATATAGCGTTTTGAATTGATCACGTAATATTTTTTGGGTCTTGGAAGTATATCCCGCCTGATTGTATTTCGCACTTTATGAATTAATGCATTCCTTTGGTTATCAAAAAAATAAAAATAAAATTGATCACGTAATATTTTTTTTTTTTTTTGTTACAATAAAGACGAAAATAGTATCCTTGCTAAAAGTTTAAGAATGAAATACAAACATGATTTACCTAGTGAAGTAGTGCAAATTATTGTATGGGTCACATGTACACAGTGCTATGTAAATCATAACAAAATGTATATTTTTAATATACTAAAAATATATTATTCGTGTATTGTATATACATTATACAAAATGATGTACTTTCAGTACTCAAATAATATATTTTTCTGAATATGATGTACATTTTTAATATACTAAAAGAATATTATTAGTTTTTTTTTTTAAAGAACATTATTTGATATTATAATCCACACAGCCGTGTGGACCATGATCCACATAATAATGACTGGTGGAGTAGTGCCCGTATGGGCAGTTCAGTTGGTCATAAGGGTGAAGTTTGGGAAGAATGATTGATGGAGTAGTGACGGTAGATTTTCTTCCTACAAAAAGAAAAAGAAATAAGGGTCAAATAGCCAACTGAAATGCACACTAAACTGCAATTAGGTTATTGAACTCAAAAAAAATTACAATTGAATCCCTGTATCACACAAATTCATGCAATTAAGTCCAAAATAACATGTTTACTTGAAATTTTGTTGACATGGAGGTTATAGATTTAAAAAAAAAATTAATTAAAAAAAAAAAAGAACGGCCTGTCTCCGTCGTTCTATTTTTTTAATTAATTTTTTATTTAAAATTATTTTAAAAATTATTTTTAAATCCGCAACCTCTAAGTCAGCAAAGTTCCAGTTAAATAAGTTATTTTATATATAATTGTATAAATTTGTGTTGTTCAAAGACTCAATTACATTTATTTTTTTTTGAATTCGAGGGTCTAATTTGATGTGCATTCAGTTTAGACTGAAATACAAATACATGTAATAATTAGAGATAAAATTAACAATTACGAATTTTTCCTAAATAAAACAGAAGTGAACTAAACGACAGCGTATTTTCAAAAAAAAAAGAACTAAACGACAGCGTCTTTCCTCTCACCGAAGCTTGTCCCCTATAAAAGTCCTTCCCAAATAATCGTATGCTCCAAGTTTTTTACAGGATTCCGAAGCGAAGAACCCTTCTCTAAATCTCTCCGTAAGTTCTGACACTCTTTGCTGTGTTCAGGTTTCCGATTTCGTTTATGGAATCTCGGATTATAAGCTTCAATTATCGTTGCAATTTTCGTTTTTTTCCTCCTTAAATTTAAATTCCTTGTAATGGTGGCTAGGGTTTCCTAGCCTCTCTCTATATACTTTTTCTGTCGTACATACCTGTGCAAGCTCGTAGTTGGGTTTTAACAGGTGATCGCTTGTGTGGCAGAGCAGTGCGATTAGGGATTCACTGTAGAATGGCAACCGAGCAACCAAAACCGGCGCCTGAAGACGTGAAAATGGATCTCTTCGAAGATGACGACGAGTTTGAGGAGTTTGAAATTGACCAAGGTAATTAATTTCTGACTAACTTTTTTTCTTCTGTTATTCTCTTAATTATATATATGTGATCAGTAAAATTTTTCATTTTTAGTTTTTTACTAGTGGTTAGCTTTAGCTTATATTGTTGAATTAATTTTTCTTATTTAATTTTTATATGTACAATATATGCATCTCTATTAGTAGTTGATTTGTATAAAGCCCATTAGGTACTGGTTCAGGATTGTTGTGGTGAAAGCTTAATCTCAATACTTGTTGGCTTGACATGAGCTTGTTAAAATGCTTAAGAACTACATTGCAGATAGTATGTATGCATACATGTGATTTGTGAAGTCAGAAAATGTAATTGCTTTGCTATCGTTGATGGTTCTATGGAAAGTTGCAGTTCAATCTGTGACTCTAATGACATTCTCCAATCTCCACATGAGTTGATTAGGTGGGAGAATTGTATGGTTACTCTAGTTGTTTAACTGTTGAGTGGTCTTCTCTTTTGTCTTTGTTTTTGTGTTGTTTGGAAAACATGTCTTGGCTTCATTATGAAGGCATATGACAATATGAGCCATTGGTCATGCCTTCGTATCTCTAGCAATCATCCTTATGGGTAGGTTTTGGGATTATAGATTAAATAACCACTTTTTTCATCTTTACAAAGATTGGGTTGCGCATTTTAGTTCATTGAAGCTGATAATCTGTGAATGTTTGTGCAATCCACCACAATTTATCTACTATAATCCATTAGCATTTCCAAACCTACTCTTGTAATCATTAATTTTGTCCTGGAAGACCAAGTCATTGCTAGCTATTTGCCTAGATTTTACTATTTTATGATATCTGTTCACCCTTTTTTTCTTTGGTAACTTTTTTCTCAATTTTTTTTTTTTTGGTTAAGATATTTGTGGCACTTAAACTCTGAAGTGTTCTTACCCTGTAAATTTGAAAATAACAGAGTGGGAGGACAAAGAGGAGGGGAAAGAAGTAACCCAGCAGTGGGAAGATGACTGGGATGATGATGATGTCAATGACGACTTCTCCCTGCAACTTAGAAAGGAATTGGAAAGCAGCACTGAGAAGAAGGACTAAGCTAATACTCCGTAATACTTTGGCATCATTGCATGTCCCTCTAGAATTGATGCCTTCCTCATATATTGTACTCCACTTTATTCTTGCTGAATGCTTGGACCTTCAACTTTCTGTTCACTGTTTTTATCAATATGGTTACAAGTTCTGACTTTTTTTAGTCACCTATTTGCACTGTTCTGCTTCGAGGATTCTTGTCTAACTTAAAATACCTGATTGGATTGTGTATTAAATATCTGGAATAGGCAGCAAGTATGCAGGCTCTTCAACGACTCCCCTATGGATTTATCTTACACTAACAATGTCATTAGGGATAGTCAGTTCTTAGCATCTAGCTTTCAGGCATTTGTCATTAGATACTTCACTAGATCAGTGAATGTGCAGGCTTACACTTTAGCACGGACAGCTCATTCGAACTCTGGTCTTTATACTTGGAAAGATTCTCCCCTTCATTGTATTCGCTCATTGATTAATTGACTTTATTCTTTCAAAAAAAATAAAAATAAGTATGTAGTATTTTATTTAAGTGACTATTAAGTATGCCAAAGCAATGTTGCAAAAATTGCGCCTAGGCGCCATTGCGCCGCCGCGAGGAACGGCCTCCGCGGCCGGTCGGCTAGGCGGCCGCCTAACCGGCCGGTTCGGCGGTTTTTTTTTTTTTTTTTTTTTTTTTTTTTTTGAAAATGTCGGAAAAGTTTCGGAAGGCATAACTTTTGACTCGGTTGTCCGATTTGGACAATTTTTTTTTTCAAATCGCGTATTTTTTCGAGATCTATCCACCGCAAACGCCGTGGTCCACTAATTTCTCAAAAAAATGTTTTTTTAGCTCTTAATTTTAGTTTTTTATGTATTTAGATGGTTTAAAAAATCTTTTGAACACTTTTACAACCACTTTCGTAAATAATTTCTATGAAATAACTATAGAAACCTTATGTTTTATTATTAAATTTTAAAAATTTTAAATTTTAAATTTTATTTTTAATTAAAAAATAAAAAAAATTAAAAAAAAAAAATTAAAAATCGGCGCCTAGGCGCCCTAGGCGCTAGGCGCCCCCTTGGCGCCTAGGGGGCGCCTAGCGTGTTTTGCAACATTGTGCCAAAGTAATGCTATTTTTACACAATTTCAATATACTTCCTATGTTCCATTTTATGTCATAGTTAATTATGTTATAGTTAATTATATTATAGTTTGGTTAATTGAAGCTATTTATCATTCAGTTTTTTATAATATTAAATTTAGTATTAACATATAAGATTTATATATTTAAAAATTGTATATAAATGCCTTTTAAATATAAAAATAATAATAAAAATATTAAAGAAAATAAACAAAGAAGAAAAGTTGGTTTGATAATTTAAAAAAAAAAAACAGAATAGGAAAAAATTAGTAAATTAGATTGATAAAATGAGATAAATGGAGTACTTATAGATTGAGGCACTTTTGGTTCATTAATTGTTAATTATTATATAATTTAGTCATTTTAAAATTAAATCAATGTGATTTGAGCGTCCTATTGGAGGCCAACAGAATATGGAGATAAAGGATTTTCAGAAATCCATGGAAATGAGACCGTCTCCATAGATCTCTAGAGACCAAGGAGGCTGAAAGGATGGAGGTAGCCACTGGAATCGTGGATGGCTTTCATCCCTTCAAAGCTTTAAAGAAGAAGAAGTCATTTTGAATGTCTTATTTTTTGAGTTGACAAGGTTTAGAAAGGAATACTACTATTAAATTTTATTTTTAATTTTTATTTTTATTTTCTCTCACCAAATTTTGTTTTGAATTCATATGATGAAAATAACTATATCATTGTTTATCACATTAATATATGATGTTGGACATTTTTTTTGAATTCATATAATGAAAATAACTATATCATTGTTTATCACATCAATATATTATAGAATAAAAATGAAAGAGTAAAAATAGAGATTACATGTACTAGAACTCATTTAGAAATTAGAACACAATTACCAACCTTCAACCGTTAATAACGTAATCACCTTCAACTGATGCTTGTCCGTTGATATAAAGAGATCCAACGGTTGTTTGGCATCTAAATAAGAGATTAGATTTCTTTCTCTCCTTACCGCTCTCTCTCAAACCCCACACTCGTCTTCTTCACCTTGGAATCGAACCTCCATGGCTAGTTTAAGCTTCCATTGCAGCAGAATCAGGCATCCTTCAGTCCATTCTTTTGAATTCCCATTCCACTTCTTTCCATCTTCAGTCAAAATCAAGCCACTCAAAACCAACTTCAACAATTTGCATTTTCTTTCTTGTTCGGTTTCTGAAACCTCCATCTCTTCACCCTTGGAAGCTGAAGCTGAAGCTTCTGATGAAGAAGAAGAAGAAGAGGAAGATGATGATGACCCCACTGTAGAGCTGAGCTATCTCGACCCGGAAGTTGATCCTCAGAGCATTTCTGAGTGGGAAATGGATTTCTGCTCAAGACCCATTCTTGATATCAGAGGAAAAAAGCTATGGGAGCTTGTTGTTTGCGATGATTCTCTGTCTTTGCAATATACAAAGTATTTCCCCAATAATGTTATCAATAGTGTCACTCTTAAGGAAGCCATAGTGTCCATCTGTGACGATTTGGGCGTGCCTTTACCTAACAAAATTCGCTTCTTTAGGTGAGTTCCTTTGCCATATTCCGCAGATTTTCTAGTTCTTGTGGTTCCATTTTGTTAAATTTGTGTGGATTATCAGTTTGTTTTTCTTGATAGATCACAAATGCAGACTATTATCACTAGAGCTTGCAATGAGCTTGGCGTAACACCTATTCCCAGCAAGCGGGTATGTTTTTCAGTACATCCTTCTTCGTACAGTTCATGTGTAAACATTTTTTTTAGTGCAGAATGAGTCCGGAAATAATATTTATCATGAAAAGGAATGAATTAGTATTGAGTTGTGTCGTTCAACCTTCAATATTGCCTTTTTCAATTCCATTGCTGGATACTAATGTTGTGCCCAGATTTTAGTATTGCACATTTGGTTTGGTGAAGGACCTTATTTTGGTTACTATCTTAAAACATTTTGGATAATTCTTGGTTAACAAATGATGCTTTTGTTGCCAAGATCTTGTGGTCTAGCGGCACGAAGTGGCTCTCCCAAATGGGAGGTCATGGGTTCGAGCTCAGTAGGGGCGGTATTGACTCTTTGTGCTTCAGTAGGTTGAGAAAGTAGCTATGAACAGATACTACATTGTAACAGGGGCGGTGTGTTTCAGTAGGTTGAGAAAGTAGCTATGAACAAATACTACATTGTAACAGAGTCAGTAGTACCAAAAAAAAATGTACATGTTCTACATCCATCCTTTACCTGACGAAAGAAACCTGCAGCCAGTACCCGAGTGTGTACACATAGTAAACTCCGTCTTGTGACCTTAGTCGGCAAAGGACCACTACCCGTGTGTGTACACATAGTAAACTCCGTCTTACTAGCTCAAACCAAGAAGGCCCACAAGGAGGACCCGTGTGTGTACACATAGTAAACTCCGTCTTACTAGCTCAAACCAAGAAGGCCCACAAGGAGGTAAACTAGCCTAGGTTGCCCATAGCTGACTAGCTCAAACCAAGAAGGCCAACAGGTTGCATCCATCCTTTACCTTTGAATATATTGGAAAGTGAAGGTGTAGGGATTTTTAACGAACAAATGCATTAGGCTTCATTGACATGATATCTAATTGCTATACTTTCCAATTTGTTTAACCTAGCTTTTATTTTGATCTCTCTCTCCCTCCAATGTAAGGATACTTCTATATTTGAAGGGTGCCAATGGGTCAATGTCAGTTCTAATAATGGATTTAACAAGATGACTATCAACTTATAATGATTAGACTATTACTGATTCCTTGGGCTGACAACAAATGAATGTGCAGTCACAGTACAGAAAACTATAATGATGTCATTCATGTCAAGGGCTTTCCTTGTTAAGAGAGACATACTATATTTTACCATAGGAAATAGTGATGAAAAATAACTATTATTCACAGAACTAAGTTATTTTGTCATCAAAACCTGTGTTGTTTTCTTATCCATCTTTGAGTCTTTTGACTTTTGTTTCCTAAGTTTATTCATGCTGTGTTTCAGTGCTTGTCATTGGTTCTTTGGCTTGAAGAACGCTATGAAACGGTTTATACTCGCCACCCTGGTTTCAACAAAGGATCTAAACGACTGCTTGCTCTTGATAATCCATTTCCAATGGAGCTTCCAGAGAATTTATATGGAGAAAAATGGGCTTTTGTCCAGTTGCCTTTCTCAGGTAAGTATGTGGTACTTTTTGGAAGATTTATTTATACTAACAGAAAATCTTGCCAACATTCTTCTACAAGCTAGATGACAATTTATTTTTGGTTATAATACACTGTTAAAAAAAGCTGACAGTGGTTGCCCTTTTCCTTCCTCTATTTTGCAATAAGAGAATCTAGTCATTGATCTGTAAATTGGCCTTTCTACTTATTCTGCAAAAACCCAGATTTAAACTATTTCTTGGGGTGCTAATTAATTATATCTTATAAGCCAAAGTTGTTTGCTAACTATCGTAGTTGTTCATAAATGAGTTTCATCTAATACTTTTTCCTTCATTATAGCTGTTCAGGAAGAGGTTTCATCTCTGCAGACAAGGTTCATGTTTGGTGCAAGTTTAGATTTGGACCTTTTGGGGATTGAAATTGGAGAAAAGACGTTAATTCCTGGTCTTGCTGTTGCTTCTTCACGTGCACAGCCATTAGCCGGTAAGTTTTTGTTAAAGAAATTATGTCAATAAATCTATCAGTTTTGTTCATTTTCTTCTTTCTTCTTCTCTTCTGTCAAGTGGTAGTGATGGGCTATATATGCTTTCCTATCACCTCTAAATTTTCTTCTTTTGCACATTTCCTTGGTATTATTTGTGCAGCTTGGATGAATGGCTTAGAGGTGTGTTCAATTGAAGCTGATATTGAAAGGGCATGCTTGATTTTATCTGTTGGAATTTCGACTCGATACATTTATGCAACCTACAAGAAAACCCCTGTAACTACAAGTGAAGCTGAAGCCTGGGAAGCTGCAAAGAAGGCCAGTGGAGGTTTGCATTTCCTTGCTATTCAAGATGATCTAGATTCAGATGACTGTGTTGGATTCTGGCTCCTTTTAGACTTCCCACCTCCTCCTGTATAGATATATCATGCCAGGCCCGCATGGACAACTCAATTGGTTACAGGGGTGAGTGTTCTCTAGGATCGAGTCTCACCAGCGACAGTGCGAAAGTAACCTCTCAAAGTAAGGGGTGTTTCTTATGCGCAGTAAGCAAGGTCTAGCCTCTGTGTTCAGTTGAGTTACCATGACTTACAGGATTTGAGTATTCACTTACATTCAAACTTTTTTGATTCTGCATTTGATGATGTAAAGAACTGCAAGTTACAATCATGTTGAGCTTAGTGGGAATTAAATGAAGTTTTTGTAAATACTTGGAATTGTTGTTCCAAGAATCATAAACTTCTAGAGTTGCAAGTTGCAATGTGGTTTTGGCAGTTTGCATTTTTGCAGAACTTCAAAGCTGTGTGGAAGAGTAAACAAAGCCATTGTACATTGAAACATCATTTTCTATGCTGAAGAACTCAACAAAGTATTCATCAAGTTAGTACCTTCAATTTTCTGTAAATATAGTTTAGTCAGAGGACAATAGCAATTGTTCTTGCCCTTATCAGGGACCAGATAGATGGCGATTAACTTCATATCCTGAGTATCTATTCTCGAAAGCACAAAAAAATGATACTAACAGCGTCAATCAAGGAAAGGAAAGAGATCCTGAATGTCTAGGATATCGGCCAGGACGCCTGCTGCTGTTGTATCATTCCCTGCGCCAGCACCTTGGATAACTAGCGGCTGTTCTTTATAGCATCGGCTGTATATTTCCAACTGCAGATAGATCAGGAACAAATAATTGTCAAATTTCATTTGGCCAATCAACAGGTTTTCGTTGTTCATAAATCTAATCAAGAGTATCGGAGTGAATTCAAAGACGTGAAGTAGATTCCCAGCCATTTATCTACGAGTACGATAATATCAGAAATAGAAAGAACAGAAGTACGAATATGTACCAACGAGAGAGTGTAAAAAAGAAAGGCGTGTGCTTAATAATATGCTCACCACATTATCGCTCCCTCTTAGTCTTCCTAGTGCAGAATTTTTTGGAACTTCTTGGACGCCAACTTCACATCTGCAAAGCAGGGAAAGTGTTAAATATCTTGTTAAGAGTCCCACATTGAAAAAATAAGAGAGAATATATGGGTTTATAAGGCCATGAGTTAGACTAACTAATTGGTTGAATATACAAATTCTATTCTATAAATTATTGCATTAGATGAGGCCCCTAGCTTCATCCTGTTAGGTCTCTTGGAAATAGAGAATATTTAGAAAGTTGAATAGCTAAAAGTGACTAAACGAGTTTTTCAAGCTAAAAGCAAAGCTCCCGAATAGAATGCAAATAACAAAAATGATACCTTGAGTCATCGATCAAGCATATATAGCGCAGAACATTCCCATTTGAAGAAGCCTTTTCGGTCCTTTCTCGTATGCCCTTGTCAAGCAAGGGAAGGCCATTCTTCAAAAACTCCTCCAATGGCATCACGTCAGGTCCCATGTTTGCGGGATACAAGCTTTCAATCTACCGGATATTTTGTTTGTCCATGAGATATTTCTACAAGTTTAAACCAAAAATAGAACGGGATAGAGATTTTAAAGATTACACTAACCTTCATGCTCTCTAAATTTAAGCGGCGTCCAAGTAGCCGGGCAAGGATCAAAGCCTATATTGAGAACATGAAAGCCACAAACATTACATAAAATAAGTAAATAACAACCTTGGCGCAATCTCGTTGTTCAATATCAGAACTATTATTAGTATTGTCATTCAAAGAAAGGTAAGCAACTGATGGCTCTGCAGATACATATTTTATCTATATGTTTCATTCTCAAAACCTTTACCAAAGTAATTCTCATTTTAGTCCATACTGTGTTGTTAGAAAAAACCGTTTCCAAACCTTTCTTGCCACATCCATGCCACCAAGATCATCTCGAGGATCTGAGTATCAAATAAAATTTAGAATCAGCAACACTGTTCCTTCCAAAATCTTATAAGCTAAGGATTTTGCAATTTCAATCTAAACGAGTGAGGCTACAATTAAAGGCTTTCAAGGGATGAAATATTGTTAGTGCATATCTTTGACGGTATATTGTCCATGTTGATGGGACAAGTTTAAAATGGTTTTATGATGTATTGATGTAATACTGGTGTCACTGAGAAACTAGTAAAACTAAAGTCTTGTCACCGTTTTTTTCTTGAGATATTCCCCACACATGTAAGATCCTTTAGATTCACTAAAGCCTATCAAACAATTGTAATTTGTAAGATCCTTTTACCCATACAAATGTGGCATGAATGAATCCCGCAGCAAATACCAATTTCAATGCAATAACAGAAGGTTCAAAATTACTTTATCTACATGGACATTTGCAGAGTTTATCACACTTTTGGTCCCACGACTATAGTTGCATTATCAGGATTGATCCACAACTTTCAAACCTTGCAATCTTGGTCCACGACTATTATTTTTTTTTGCAAAAATGGTCATTCCGGCCTATTTTCCGTCAATTTCTCACTGGAGTAAGAACCATTTCCGACAAAAAACGGGCCGGAAAATTGACAGAAAATAGTCCGGAAGGACCATTTTTGCAAAAAAAAAAAAAAAAAAACATAGTCGTGGACCAAGATTGCAAGGTTTGAAAGTCGTGGATCAATCCTTATAATGCCACTATAGTCGTGGGACCAAAAGTGCGATAAACTCGACATTTGCATAATACGCAGAACAGTTATATTCATTCACAATACCAGTTTACAGTTCGGTTCCAATTGTCACCTGGTTCAGTGTAGCCAAGGCTTTTGGCAGCACAAACCACTTGGCTGAACGGTTTTCCATCCTCAACCTCACTCATCACATATCCCAATGTACCTAACAGACATAAATTACGGACATGTCATGCCATCAAATTATGCAAATAATCATATCTACAAGAAGCAAGTCAGTTTAAACTAATATGGAGAAATAGCATTACAGATCATCAGTTCAGTTACCACTTAAACTCCCAATAACTCGATAGACAGGATCTCCAGAAGAAATTATACGATTTAAGGATGCTATGACTGGAAGCCCTGCACCAACCTACAAAAAGGTATAAAAGGAAAGCGGTTATACTTCAACTTAACCATACCACGGAGAGCAGTATTGCCTAGATCATAATAAACCTCTCAACCAAAGTGTAAGGCAATTCTAACTCGTGAAGAAATAGCACTTACAGTGGATTCATGTCGAAGGCGACGATGTTGTGCAACCAACTTGTCATAATGTTCCTACATACAGCAAGGAAGGTAAAGCAATGCATACATGCATACATAATCTTAATCCTTAAATTAGCTCTTTCCTCAACAATGAACAGTATGTCCCATAAATCGCACATGTCAAAGGATGAAAACCACAAAAAAACAAAAATAGAATTGCTGATATGATTAACAATGTCAAGACTGCCTTTATAGCTACACCCACTTCCTTCAGGTAAGCACTAAGGTAAAAAATTTAGTCAGTTAGTAACCAATTATAACGCTCAAAACAGGATAGAGAATTTGTTACCATGGATGAAGTGAGTGGTTTTTTATTAGCCAGCACCACACAGCATCCAAAACCCACTACTCTACTTAGAACTTCAACAGTCTCAGAACTAGCTGAGCAATCAACAAATGCCAAACCTGTATCAATAAACATTTGCACAAGTTGGTTCGATCCAAAAACAGCAAAAGCAGAAATTATGCACAACTTCCTATCCGCCCCCCCCCCCCCCCCCCACCAAAAAAAAAAAAAAAAAAAAATCTATTTCCAGGTTTGATGAACTTGTACAAGAGAAAGCGATAAGAGTTAATACCCGATTTGGTCCCTCAACTATTAGGATTTCAACACTTTGGTCATCGACTTCCAAACTTGCTCAATTTAATCCCCAACTATGCAATTTTTACTTAAAATAGTCCTTGGTCCAAACCAAAATAGTCCTGATTAGGACCATTTTGGTTAACAATTGCATAGTTGGGATGAAATTGGGTTGGAAGTTGAGGACCAAAGTGGTGAATCCTAATAGTCGAGGGACCAAATCGGGTATTAACTCCAGCAAAAATAAGGAATAACAAGTAGACCATCCTAACCACCCTTTGCACCACTGATTGAAATTGACAGTAGATAATGCTCAACTTTTACAATGGTAAACATACTACCTCTTTTGGTAGGTCGGTAAGGATCCAATAATCAAAAGAATTGTTAAACAGGAGCTAATGTCAGTATTTTCTCATTAGAAGATAAGTGGCTCAATATGGACTACAAACATAAAAAAATAAACTGAAAACTAGCATCCTGATAAATTATGGCTAACATTAACTATAATCACATCGCAAACCCCACCCTTGTTTTCCTAACAAGTAAAAGCTTTTAGATTTACAAACCTGTTGAACTACCAAGAAGCCCACCAATGTCGGTGACTTTTCTTATAACACCTGTACTTGAAAATGTTTCGCATACACCTAGGCATTGAAACAATCGATGAATTTCAGCATTCTAACATCTGAAAAAAGGGCTTCAATTATCCCATTGACAAGCAAAGAAGTTTACTGTTTTACCAAAATTGCTAAGTGTATGCAAAGAAGCTCCACTGGACTTGGCCTTGCAAACCTCCAACAACAAAGAATCTTCCAACTCCGCAGTAAAAACATCAGGAACCACCACTAATGACTTGCTATCACACACTCCCACAACCCGCAAATGCACTCCCTGTTGTGTACCAAGAATGTATAGAGGCTCAAAAAGATTCTCCATTTCTATATAATCAACACCATGACTACAATCACAGCTATTACATATACCCAAGAAATGTTCTCCAGTTCTACACTATCAACACCATAACTACAGTCATTGAAAATATATAAGCTCAAAAGAAATCTCAAATTTCTGCATAATCAATACCATAACTAGGATCAACGGCAAATAGAGTATATCATTATAAGTAGACAGTGTTTGGATGGGAAAGATTACCAATTTGGCGTGAAGGGATCTGCAGGAAACAATGTGTTGGAGGAGCTGGCGGCCAACGCCCCCACAACCCATTAGCAACAACGGTATTTCCTTCATTTTGTCACCGTCTAATGCCGATTGCTGGAAGGTTGGTTCTGGGATTATGGCGATGACTTGTGGGGTTCTGGGTTTTGGCTACGGGTTTAATCTTGGCTGACTGAGTTGAGTGACTGCTCACGAGTCATGAACTCATCTTCGTTCTGGTGGACTACTGCTTACTAGTCTCACTTTCCACCCTTCAATTTGTTGAAATTACAGAATTTCCAAAATACTTCAGATACTGTAAGTTTGTACTAGTTTTTTTTTTTTTTTTTTTTTTTTTTTTTGAAATATACTTCCAAACCAAAAAAACTTAAAACAAAAACAATGGTCTTGTTTGGCAATCAACGATTATTGGTTAGCGGTTAATATATAATGAATTGTGTTAACGGATTGTGTCAACGGTGGTTCCAACGAGAAGATTGAGGGAGGGGATCCCTTGTCTCCATACCTTTTATCTTGTGTGGAGAGGATCTATTATTACTGTTCCAAGATGTTCAAAATAGAGGGTTTATTCATGGCTATCGGGTAGCAAAGGGTGCTCCCCAGGTTTCTCATTTATTTGTTGCTGAGGACAATTTGTTGTTCTTTAAAGCTATGCTGAGGAGGCTATGGAGGTGAAGAGGTGTCTTGGGGAGTATAAGAAGTTGTCTGGACAGTTGGTGAACTTTAATAAGTCTTGCATTAAGTTTAGTAAGAATACATGCAAGTGTTGCATACAATAACCAGGTAGCGGGGATTTTGGGTGTTTCACAAAGTATTTGGGTTTGCCTTCCATTATTGGACGTAATAAGTGGCCGGGCTGCTTTTGCTTACATTGAGCAGAAGTTGGTAATCGTAATTGAGATTGTAAGAAGAAGTTAAATTATAAGGCTAGGAAGGTTATTCTGCTCAAAAGTGTGGCTCATGTTATGCCTACTTTTGCAATGAGTGTACTATTGTTGCCACTTGCCTAAGACCTTTTTGCAAGTCGCTAGAACGAATGATGAACAAATTTTGATGAAGTAATGATGTTGGTAGGTGATGTAACAAAAATGAGTGATGGTGAGTGCATGGGTCTGTAATGTCGTCCTCAGAGGATTGAGATTTATGGCACGTAATACGCAATCACAAGCAACTAGGCACTAGCATAAAGAAATCAACAAGAAGCTAAGGAAATAACAAGTTTCAAGGTTACGGTAACTAAACAAAGTAACACAAATACATATTAATAAGATATAAACACTAAACAAAGAAATATGACTCAATCTAGGGAGCATTATCATCTAGATGCATAACACAAAGGATTAGTGAAAACCACACAACCAAATGATAGAAGGGATGCACGTAGGAATCCTAGTCTAAGATTCACTCTCGTAATCAATAAACAAGGATTAGAATAACGAATTGCCTCACTCTCATGACGTATCAATTCTAAGTTCTTCAAGCACACAAAACATCAAAAGCTCCTAATTTTCCCTATTTCCATAGGAACAAATCGGGTTTATGCAAGGGATGTCTTGGATTTATCACCCAACTCTCATTGAGACAATGAGTCCTCCAAATACATGCTAATGAATGTGTACGTCAAACATTAACAAGATATAAACACAATACCCTCATAAACACATGAACCCTAGGTTAGATTTCTTCCCATTTTCACAATAATCACAAATTAAGCATCAAGATAGATAATACAACCCTAACTCAAGTTCAAAAACTAATTACTCATGATTAAATAGCATAAATAATACAAAAGCACAAGCATTAAACATAAATCTTGCAAAAGAAAGGGATAAGGGAAAAAAAGCTTCTCTACTGAAAATGGGTGGTGGAATCTTGAAATGTTGGAATTCAAGCTTCAAATCCAAGATTACAAGCTTCAAAAGTGTTAAGAAACCTAAATCTAAGCCTAATATAACACTAAAATATGAAAGGAGTGAATAGAAAATGTCTAGGGTTGGAACAATGTCCAAAATCGAATTGAAATCGGGTTTAAATAATTATAGAGCATAGGTGACACGGCTAGGGACATGGCCATGCCATTGGCCGTGCCAAAAATGAAGTGAATAGTGCCTCGGGTTGGCATGGCCATGTCTGTGCCCGTGCCCTCGGCCGTGTTTTCTTGCAATTAAGTAGAATTCTGTGCACCTATCTTGACTTCTAGACTATTTTTCACTCTCAAAATAATTTTATTTGCACTTGTGATCTTCAACAAAGTTGTAGCCCTTCAAGTCTTCTTTTCAGTGGCGCAATAATCACTTCATTTGGACATTCCTAAGCCGAGATATAGTCAAAATACCAAACAGTGTCCGAAATGAGCGAAAATTACAATGTATTGATCTTTTGCTCCTATTTTGTTTTGGTTTGCCCAAGTGACCAAAACCATTGAATACACAACTCTTAGGCTCCCTGGAAGTGTTATAGCCATCCTCTTAGCTTCTATTGACTCCCATGGACTTCTAATGCATCCAAAACGCTACATTTGACTCCAATGTCCACCACAATGCATGAAAATATTCATCTTTGCTTCCCATGCTTTCCAAACCAAACTTGATACTGCTAATTGCCACGTACGCAGTAATTAAATAAATACGAGACCAATTAAAGAAAATAAATGTCTTTTATTGATCACGGTGAAGGCCCTAAGTACAATCTACTTGGTTGCTCTGAGTACCGACTGACTGCGGTCGGGAATCTCTAACAACAACCTATCGATCGTCCAAAAGTCCCTCACACTGTAGCTGTCGCGGGTATTTATAGCCGCGGCGCCGGAGACACAAATCCGGCCGTTCGGCATGCTTCCCACGTAGCCACCACGTGTCGCCGTCCCGGGTGCCCTGCCTGTCAACGCGTGGAGCCGCCACGTGTCTCTCGTCAGCTCTCTCGCCAAAGGGCTACCACTCGGTGGTCGACACTCCCGCTCGGACAACTCCCGGTCGGACCCCGACCGGGTTCTTCATAAGAAGCCCGATCTGTTACCTGCAAAGACAAGAAGACAAAAACAAAGGCACACCAACCGGGGTAAAATTATGTCGGTCGGGATATTCCCTACCAAGAGCCCCCCAGCCCGGGCCTTTTTGACCGTCCGGGAAAAAACGGGACGGGATGAAGAAGCCCAACCGTCGGCTACCAAACCGACCGGCCAGCTGTCATTCCTTCTCTTGCCACGTGTCGGCCACTGCCGGCCTCTACGACTACAACGGTCGCCTCGGAATCAGTGCGGGTCGTGTCATGCAAGTGGACTCATTTCCCGCCTAAATGCTCTCCTATAAATAGGCCCTTGAGGCCCTCATTTGAACTTTCTCCAATCTATTGCTTCGATCGGTACCCTCAAAGAGCCCCGAGCAAAGCACTTCAGCAGAGCAATCAAGTAAATGATTTCAAGACTCTCCTCGCCAAGCAACTCCAATCGGTAAGTTCTCAGCCCCCTCTCTTATTTAGCATTTACATTTATATGTAGAGCTGATAGGTCGCAACTAACTGTCCCGGATGTCTCGAGTCCCCTACTAACCCGACCGACCTTTAGGTAGATCGAAATGACAGACTCTGACAGCCAAAACTCCTCGGTCGCGGACTACGACGAGGAAGTCGAGCACGTCAGCGATGAAGAAGTGGACATCATGTCTTACTCACCCGAGGTCGTCCACCGACCGGAACAAGCCCCCGAGCGGGCCCCCGAACGAAGAGAAGCATCGAGCTCGTCCGGGTCATCGGGCTCCAGCTCAAGCGGGTCGGGGAGTTCCAGCGAAGAAACCTCGACGGGCGGACAAAGCTCTCCGACCGAGGGCGTTAAGGAAACGCCCACCCGGGTGATTGGGGATCACCCGGAAGCCGTTCCCCGAGGAGACGATCAAGAGAACGTTCCCGAGCCGATCGAGGAAGAGACGGTCGAGCCGGCCGCACCAGCAGCCGACGAGTTCGAATTCTTGAACAGCGAGAATGTCGAGCAACAGATGAGCCGACTGACCAAGGGAGAAGCGGCCAGGATTGCCAAGAGGCTAAGGGGTCGGGTGGAGTTCGACACAAGCCGGAGGCTCGGGAACATTATCGACCGGCATCGGGGCAAATGGATCGGGATGCACTACGACTCCTTGATGGCCTCGATTGCTATTCCCTTTCCTCCTCTCCTGACGGCTTTCTTGGGGTATTACCGGGTCGTTCCGGCTCAAATTTGCCCCAACTCCCACAGGATCATCGCTTGCTTCCCCCAGATCTGTGCTCGGCATGAAGCAGCTTGCACGATGGAGTTATTCAACTTCATCTATCAGATAAAAGTTCTCCCGGCCAGCTATGGATGCGGCTTTCTGATGTTACAGTCCCGGGCAGATATGTGCGCGATTGAAGGACTGCCCGGGAACAACAAGGGGTGGAAGAACCGGATCTTCTCCATCAAGTATGATCCCTGGATCCTCCCGGTTGAACGTGCTTGGAGCACTCATTACCGGAAACAAGTTGTGCCGGCCGAGACTCAGGCGCTCAAGGACACAGTCGCTCGGATCTCGAGCGAAATTCATGAGTACTCAATTTTCCGGACGGGCGAAAGTCTCGAGGCGGCTAAGCTCCCGCCCCCTGTGTACGACCTGCCAGAGAAATACCTGCCCTTGCCGATGGGCGTAACAGTCGCCAAGGCATCCAAACGGAAGAAGAAAGGTCTAATCATTAGCTAACTCCTCCCGATCGTAACTCCTCGAGCGATGCTTAATTTCCCGACCTAACTAACTTTTATCTTCTTTATTTGCAGCCATGGCAGAGTTCGGAGACGATGACGCTCCTCTCCCCCTGCCCGCCAAGATCTCACTCGGTGGCAAAAAGAAGCCAAAGGCAAAACCAACCGGACAGAAGGAAGTCCCGGTGGCCCGTCTGCTCGGAACCTCGTCCATCACGACGGCCGAGGGCTTTGTGGTCGAGCCGACCGATGTCCTAGTTACCCGGGTGGAAATCGCCCGGGGCAAGGAGAAGGTGCCCGAGAAGGGCGTGACCGAGGTTGGCGGCATCAAGCGCCGCCGAGAGCAGCGCAGCCCGAGCCCCTCGACCGGGCGAAATAAGGATGAGTCGTCCATACTGGCCCGTATCGGCAACGCCGGGCCAGTCAGAGAGGACCTGGGGAAGATGACCCCGACTCAGATGGCCGAAAGGATCGGCCACGACCTGGCC